CACGTAGGAAGGAGCCAGTAAGAATAAAGTATACAATAAGATAAAAAGAAGAGAAAGATATAGAGAGACAGAAATGGAGAACAAAAGAGAAAAGTTTAAAATCTAATAGCTTATAAGAAGACTTTACACAAAAAAAAAAGAGAAAACGGAAAGTTTAAAATGAGGGGCCAATAATAAAATAAATTTAAGAGAGATGTACCAAAAGAAGAAGAAGAAAAGATTACAAAAAATGATAGAGTTGAAGAGGGGAGAGGAGGGTGGGAGAGAGACAGGGAAGGAAAGAAGGGAAGAGAGAAAGGTGTTTAACGAACAAGGGTCAATAAGAAATGCCACTGCAGTAAATCATGAAAATAAGCAAGAAAAATAAAATAAAATAAATTCTTAAAGAAGGAGCCAATAAAGAAAACAGTGCAAAAAAGATATAAAGAATAAAATGCAGTGAGAGAAAGAGGGAGGGAGGAAGGAAGAAGGAAGGAAAGGACAAACTTAGGAAGGATGAAAGAAGTTTATAAAGGAGTCAACAGGGAACAGTTAAAGGAAGAAAGAAAATATGAGAGCGAGAGGGAGGAGCCAATAAGAAAACCAAGTACAATTTGGCAGGGGTGGGGGGGCAGATTTTAAGTTGGAAATAGGAAAATAAAACAGAAACATAAAGACAGAAAGAGAGATGATTAATAGCTGGGTAGATAACTAGATAGGTAGATGGATTGGTAAATAAGTAGATGGATATGAGAGAGAGAGAGAACATACAGAAGCAAGTATAACGAAGAATGTATAAAAAGATAGAATGAGAGAGAGTAATTTAAAAAGAGGAACCAGTAGAAAGAACATAAAAGAAGAATGGGAGGAAGGAAGGAATAAAGGATAGAGGAAAGCAAGTAAGAGGGAAAGGAGAAAACTTGTGGAAGATGGAAAGGAGAAAGGAAGGGAGAAATGAATGAAGCTAGGAGAGAGGTCAGGGAATATGGATGGGGAAACAAAAGAAGGAAGGAAGGAGGAAAGAAGGGAGGGAGGGAGGGAGGGAGGGAGGGAAGGAAGGAAGAAGGAAGGAGGAGGAAGGAAGGAAGGAAGAGGAAGGAAGGAAGGAAGGAAGGAGGAAGGAGGAAAATAAGGCCAGAAGAGGAAGAAACAGGAAGGCAATGCAGGCAGAGTAAATAGAGAAGAGAGATAGCGAGAATGGAGGAGAAAGACATAGAAAATGCAACAAAGGAGAAGAAATGAAGCAGGCAGGAAGAAAGGCAGGAAGATATGGGAAGAAAGAGTGATGAGTCTGAAGGCCGAGGGCTGGTGGCTCACACCTGTAATCCTAGCACTGTGGGAGGCCAAGTCTAGAGGATCACTTGAGTCAGGACACACACTCTCTAACCAAAAAAAAAATTTATCGGGCATAGTGGACACGGCCTGACAAACAACAAAAAAGGCTGAGGCCAGAAGGATTGCTTGAGCCAGGAGTTTGAGGTTACTGGAGCTGGCTGAACGCCATGGACAAACAAGCCTGGGCAACAGAGTGAGACTCTGACTCAATATAATATAATAAATAAATAATAATAAATAAAATAAAGTGATGAGCGGTAGGAAGACAAATAAAAAAGAGATGTGACAGGACACAGAGAGGGATTGGAAGAGAGGCGCTAGTGAGAAAATTTCATACAACTGTGGAAAGCAGGGAAAGAAAAATCTAAAAAGAAGTCAGTCAAAATATTACAATGAAGTAAGACTGAAGGATAGGTAGATGAAAGCTAGATAGAAAGGGACGCAGGTTGGTGTAAATTGGAAGGAAAGGAGGGAGAGAGGGAGGGAGGAAGGAGGAATTGATTTGAAAGGATGCAGGGGAAAAAAAGTCCTAACATAAAGAAGACAGGTAGAAAGGGAAAGAGAAGAAATAAGAAGTTTTAAAAAGGGTCCAGTAAATAGAGAGTATTTTTAAAAAGAGGGAAGATAGGATAGGATAGGATAGGATAGGAAGGAAAGGAAGGAAAGTAAAAGAGGAGGAAGGAGAAGGAAGGAAGGAAGAGAAGGAAGGAAGGAAGGAAAGGAGGAAGGAGGGAAAGGAAAGGAGGCACGCATGCAGACAGGCACAGAAGAAAAATAAAACATAAAGGGAGCAAGAAAAAGACAGAGAAAGGAAAAGAGAAAAGGACAAAGAAAGAAAGATGAAGGTAGGAAGGAGTAAGAAATGAAGAAAGAAATAGAGAGGAGATATTTATAGGGAAATAATTAATAAGAAAAAGTAAAATAAAGGAGAAAATAAGAGAATGAGAAAGAAAAAGAAACAAAGAAAAAGCCAGAAAGGAAAAAACAGAGAGAGAATCACAGAAAGGAAGAATGCTTCACAAGCAGGAAGGAGCCAGTAATAATAAAACATACAAAGAATGGTTAAAAAGAAATAAAAAGACAAAGATATGGACAGGTAGAAAAAGAAAGTAAGACAGAAATAGAACAAAAAAAAAGAAAAGTTTAAAAACAAAAAGCCAGTAAGACTTTACCTAAAAGAGAAAGAGAAAAAGAAATATTTTAAAAGGAAGAGTTTATAAAATAAAGGGGGGATTAAAAAAAGAGGAATAAATAAGAAACAAGTATAAAAATGATAAAGACAGAGAGAGAGAAGGAAAAGGGGAAGAGACTGAGAAGACGTTTAACAAGGAAGAGTCAATAAGAAATGTCACTGCAATAAATAAATCAAGAAAGAGAATGAAATAGGTTCTAAATGGAGGGGCCAATAAAAAAAACACAGTAAAAAAGATGGGAAAAGTAAAATAAAGTTAGAGTGAAAGATGGAAGGAGAAAGGGAGGAAAAGAACTAAGGAAGGAGAGAAGCAGTTTATTTATAAAGGATGAGTTGGCAGAGAACAGAGTTAAAAGAAAGAGAATATGAGATTGAGAGGGAAAAGCCAATAAGAAAACAAAGGAACAGATTGTAAGGTTGGATACAGGAAAACAAAATAAACATAAGACAGATAATTGATAGCTGAATAGATAGCTATATAGATGATAGATAGATAGATAGATAGATAGATAGATAGATAGATAGATAGATAGATAGAACTTAAAGGCAGAAGCCAGTAAAAAGAATGTATGAACAAAGAAAGAGTTAGAAAGAAAGAGGGAGAAGTAAAGAAAGAGGAAATATAGGAGAGGATGGGAAGGGAGGGAGGAATAAAGTCAGAAGGAATGAAAGAAAACAGAAAGAAGGAAGAAGGGAAGGAAAGAAGGCAGGCGGGTATTATACTGACAGATACAGAGGAGAAATAGAAATAAAAGGAGTGAGAAAAAGACATACAGGGATTAAGGAAAGAATTAAAATGAAGAAAGAAATAAGGAGATGTATTAAAAGGACTAGTTAAAAGAAAGTAAAATTAAGAAGGAAAAACTGAGAGAATGTAAAAAAGACAGACAGTTTCACTGACAAGAAGGGGCCAGTAAGAATAAAATGCACAAAAAAAGAGAGAAAGATTTTTAAAAAAGGAGAGAATGACAGAAATAGAACAAAAAAGAGAAATGTTTGAAAATGAGAAGCCTTTAAGAAGACTTTTACACAAAAAAGAGAAAGAAAAGTTTTAAAAGGAGTGGACAATAATAAATTTGAGAGAGAAAGGAGGAAGGAGTAAGAAAAGATTACCAAAAAATGATAGCATTAGAGAGAAAGAGAAAAGAAAGAAGGAGGGGAAGAGAAAGGGAAGGAAGTAAGATGTTCAACAAGGAAAAGTCAATAAGAAATGCCACTGCAAAAATAATGAAAGCAAGAAACAAAGATAACAAAATAAGTTCCCAAAAGGAGCAGACAATAAGGAAAACAGGGAGGGAACAAGGATAGAGAAAGAAAAGAAGTTTTATAAGGAAAGCAAAAAAGAAAAGAAGTTTAATGAGAGAGAGAATGTGTGTGCAAGAAAAAGTTTAAAAAGGAGGCGCTAGTAGGAATAGACGATTGAGAAGGAAGAAGGAATGAAAACTGTATAAAGGAGCAGTCAGTAAGACAAGCTCATAGTTCAGTTCAGTGAAGCAATGAGGCTGGAACATTCTGCCTGTGTGATGCTAGATCACTTTGGCAGCTATAGAGCTCCCTCCATCTTCAACTGTTAACTTCTACCTCTGGTAGAAAGTTTCGGGTAGGCATCTTACACTATGGTCATCTCAAATCCTTTTGGAAAAAGAAAACAGAAATGAATTTAAATTAATAATATTACAGAGGTAACAGAAGAGCGAGGATACCTATTTCACATACGAAATTGACTCATACCACTATAATAAGGCTGTCATCTTCCACCATGCCGACACCTAAGGACGCACATCTTATAACTCTAATGAAAACCCAATTAGCACACATGCAGTTTGGAATCCTTTTGTCTATCTAAATGGTTAGAAACAGGAGCTGTAATCACCTTTTTCCCAAATGAGGTCTATGTATATGGTTGCTTCTGCCAAGTTGTGAGGCACAACCAAGAATTGTCATTGTCCCTAGCCTGGAGGGTTTCCAGCACAGTCATTATGCTGGACTGCCTCCCACACAGAGAAAAAGCCATGTTCTCATGGAGCAGGAGGTAGTTTTTCCCTTCTCCCAGAAGACGATTCTGTCTAGTTAGAACTAAAGCATAACTTTAATTAGACAAGATGATTTTATAAAAGTAATTGTCCTTCCTCCCCATCACATCTTTCTCTTCTAGGGTCTCTCAACCTTGGCATGATTGACATTTGGGGCCACATAATCCTTTGTTTGTGGGGGCCATCCTGTGCATGCTAGGGTGTTTAGCAGCATCTCTAGCCTCTACCCATGCCAGAAACACCCCTCCCCCAATTTGTGACCATCAAAAATGTCTCCAGACATTTCCAAATTGCCTTCCATCGAGAACCAGTGCCTATCACCTCCAATTCCTTCCAACAACCCCACATATATATTGATTGTTAGCTCCTCTTATTGGGCATGAAAGAATAAATAGAATCTCTCTGGGATAATTTTGTCATCTCCACTATGAAAAATAAATGTTTCATTATATTTCTTTAAGAAGTTTCTCCGAAGACAAAGAAAACGAATTACACTTCGGCTCACCAGGAAACACACCAAGCACACCAAGCACACCAAGCACACCAAGCACACCAAGCACACCAAGCACACCAAGGACACCAAGGACACCTAGGACACCAAGGACACCAAGGACACAGAGGTGATTGAAATGTTATGATTAGAAATTAGTAGTTTGTGGAAAGACTGGATTTGGTAATGGCCTCTTCTGCTTAGCATGCAGATAAATCCTCTAGCCTCTTCTATCCAGTGATGGATTTTGACTAATGCTTACCAACAGTGATACAGCTTCTATTGCCATCTGGTTTAGATAGACTCCCTAATTATTCAGTTGGTGTCACTGCCTCTGCACTCCTATGAGCAGGGCAGCCCACAGCTTGCAGCTGACCAACCTCCAAGCACAATTCAGAGCCCTGACTTCCTCACAATTCCTGCTCCTGATCTGATCTCTGTACTTTTCCATTCCCAACAAGTTCCTGAGGTATTTTTTCAGCCTGTGCCTCACTAGCTGCTGCCACCGCTGCTGCCACCCTTGCTCAGCAGTTCTGTCTCCTAGAATAGCAGTCCCCAACCTTTGTGGCACCAGGGGCCAGGTTTATGGAAGACAATTTTTCCAGTTCTTTTTTAAGTGCCAGCCCCATGAGCATCACCTAGGAGCTAATTAGAAAAGCAGATTCACAGACCTCGCTCCAGACCTACTGAATCATAATCTGCATTTTAACAAGATCCCCAAGTGCTTAATGTGCACGTTAAAGTTTGGGAAGTACTGCCTTCCATGACCTCATAGAGGCAGAATAAAGTTAGACTGCTTGGATGGAATGTCCACTACCTCCTTTGGTCTCCAGAGAGAGGCCCCTGTCTCCATTCACATAGCACTTAGCCTGTTGGCATTCACAGTTGAAGTCTGCCACTGCCATAATGACCCATGCTCTGGACTCCTAGAGCTCAGTAGAGCCTCTAGCTTTCCTGTCCTCCCTGCCTCCAATTCTGGCTACCTGCTCCATAACACTCAGGGCCTTCTTACCTCTACCACAATGACTCCCTCTGCAAGCTCCCCAGCTCCACTCTCAGCCCTTTCTGGGCCATGCTTACAGTACATGAGAACCAAGAGTAGCTTAAGAAAATAAAACCTCAGAGAGAGCCTTGCTATGCCTGACCACACCCTGGTGCTAAGTTGCTGGTCCATGTCCCATGAGGAGAGGAGGAAGTATGGGTAGGGGCTGGGGGGAGGGGAACTAAGTAATCTCTTTCTCCTAAATGGGGAGTGGAGCTATAGTCCCTCTTGTCTGTTCTCCACAGTAATCTCACTTACCTAAAGCAACCAAGGCCCAGAGTAAAGCAAATGTGAAGCCACATCTGAGTTCTTTGCTCTTCATCCTCTCTCTCCCACCATCCTTCCATCTTTCCACCATCTCTGAGCTGCTAAAGGAGTGGCCTTTCTTTGGTACCTTTCCTTAAATTATATCCCCCTTCTTGACCCCAGATGACTCTTCATGGTGGGCAAGGGTATCTCCAGTACACTACAGGAGAATTTTCTGAGATAAGTATTATAAGCTGTTGCTACACAAAAAAAGGAAGATGAAAGTTAGAAAAATTCTTGAGACAATTGCATGGCTCACAAGGTGTCCTGTCTTGCTGTGTCATCTTACTTTTGGCTGACAGGTGCTGAATATTACCTTGGTGTTTATCATGGCATTCCTCCTGTTACAAATTCTAATCTCACCTCTCTGTCTCCACTCTCAAACTAGCAGATGCCTATGAAAGGCTAAGGTAAAGAGTACTTAAGGAGTCAAAAATGATATAAAATTTTTGAAATAAGAGCTCTGTTGCACAATAGCTGCTTCACATGTGTCAAGCCCCTAAATGTAGACATAGAAAAATATGGGTCTGTAGACCTCCATCCAGAAGGCATGCTCACTGTAAATAGATGTAAATATAAAAACATATGTTATATATTGAAATAATAACCTCATAAAAATGGGCAAAGGCACAACAACCTCATAAAAATGGGCTAACAGATATTTTACTGAAGAAGCTATACAGATGGCAAATAAGCACATAAAAAGCTGTTCAACATTATTAGTCATTAGAGAAATGCAAATTAAACCACAATAAGACTACACACCCAGTAAAATGGCTAGAATTTAAATAACTGATCATACCAAGTAGTTGCAAGAATGTGGAGCAACTGGAACTCTCTTACACTACTAGTGGGAATGTAACGTGATACAACCACTGCAGAAAATACTTTGGAAACTTATATTAAACTTATATCTACCATGTAATTCAGCCATTCCACTACTAGGTAATAAAAGTGAAAATATATGTCCACATAAAGACTTGAACACCAATGTTCGTAGCAGCATTATTCATCATAGCCCAAAACTGGAAACAACCTAAATGCCCTTCAATGAGCAAATGGATAAACCATAGTACATACATACCGTGGAATACTGTTCAGCAATAAAAAGGAATGACCTATTAATACAGGGAACAATATTGATGAATCTCAAAGTAATTCTGCAGAATGAAGGAAGCCAGACGAAAAATAATACATCTTGTTTAGTTCCATTTACATAAAATTCTAGAAAATGCAAACTAATTTATAGTGACAGCAGGATCAGTGGTTGCCTGGAATACAGCAGAGAGAGGGATGAACGATTAGAGAGCACAAGGAAACTTTTGGGGGTGATGGATATGTTGGCTATCTCTATTGCGATAATGATTTCATGGGTTTATATGTATGTCAAAACCGAACAAATTGTACATTTTAAATATATGCACTTTATTGTACTTCAATTATACATCAATAAAGTTGTTTAAAAATTATATGATTTCCCTTTCATTTACTTTTAGGGTCAGTACACCATTCTCAAAGTGTCACCAAGACTGTCATCAAAAAGTCAATAACCATGTTAAATTCTCCACGGGAAGAGAAGACTAACACAACAGAACAAAAGGTAGAAATTGCATGTTTCAAATGTTTTGTATTGATCATTAATTTCTGGCTTAGTACTGACTGGATAGAGATCATTGGGTCCTACACAGATCTCAACCCCCCCCTTGCCAAAGAAAGTGTTGAGTCAGCTTCACGCTAAATGTATTAATACCATGCAACTTAGCAGAAACTAATGGAAATATTTGATGGTAATCACCATGAGGATCATGATGATGGTGATAATAGCTAACATTTATTGAGAACTTACTGTGGTCCAGGTCTTGTGCTAAGCTAGAAAGAAGGGAAAAGTGGGGAAGTGGACAATATGGGGTACAAAGATGGAAAAGACATAATCACCATCTAAGGGACAGACACACCTAAACAAAAGTTCTCACAATAAAATGAGAGGAGAGTTTTGATTTATATAAAATGCAGTGGGAGCACAGCAGATTTAGAACCTAGTTCTGTCTAGAGAAGTCTAAAACGGCCTTCTGAAAGAGTTTCATTGAATTAAGTCTTCAAATACGAGTGGGAGTTTCCCAGATGAGTAGACATGAGGATATAGTGAGGCAGTGTTGCAGACAGAAGTGAAATTATAAGTGAAAGCATGAAGGTGTGAGCCAGCATAGCCAAGGAGGTGCAAGAGTTGATATTGAAAGGTGGGTGAAAGCCAGAGCCTTGTACACCTTGCTGAAGTATGAATATATCCTCTCAGTATATATGGAATCCATTGAAGGTTTTTGAGTTAGGGATGTGACATGAGAATGATTTGGATTCCAAAAAGATAATCTGGTTACAGTGTGTGAGATAGATGGTAGAGAGAAAATATTAGAGGGAAGATAGTTTTAAGTCTACTGGGATAGTTCAGATAAAAAAGAATGAGGGCCCCAACTGAGGCACTAACAATGACAGTGAATGAGAGGATACAGTTTCATGATATTTGGGAGTCACTCTGTGTCCAGACCTGGTGCTTCGATGGATATATGGATCCAGAGGGGTAGGTGATGATCATGATGATCATGATGATCATGATGATGATTCAGTTTTCGTATATAGGATTTTGTGAAGTGGGATGTCTTTTTGAAGTGCTCCCATGGTGCCCAGGCTTACCTCTATCTCAGAACTCACTATATTATATCATATTTGTCTGTCTATTCCAATGGGTGATAAGCTTCTTGAGGTGAGAAATTATGTATATTTTTTCGGTTCTAAGCAGTGTGCGCAGTAAACATTGGATTGGATTAGATTGGCCTTATCTGAAATAAATGGAATAACTCTAAGCTTTCTAGAATGGAGAACTGGGTGGATTACCATGTCTTTAACCAAAATATGGAATAGAGGAGGAAAAGTCAGTTTGGAAAGATGCAAATACATGCGTACACAATCTGCTTCAATTTTAACTAGTTATGTTTAGGTGACTGTCAGAGATCTTCTGCAAGATACTGTTGATACTATGTATTAGCATTGAAACCAGTGCTTACCAGAGGTAGGGAAGGGGAGGTACTGTATTAATTTCATTGCCATAGAGTAGGCAAAAGTCTCTTTTAGAAGCTTAATTACTAATGAATGTTTTGCTTTTGCTTGTTAAATCATACAGAAAGATAAAGAAATGACTATAGCACCATGGCCTTCAAATGAGAGAGGTAAATAAATAAATAATATCCATAATTGTACTGTGTTTTTTAAATTAAATAATTAGTTTTGCCATATAGTTTTTCAAGTTAGGCTGTCCACTGATTAAAAATCTGTGCTCATTTTGGTACAGGAAGATAAGAAAATATTCATGATTATAAATGTTATCATCCTACATTTTGGGGTGATTATTGGCTGAATAGGCCTCTTGGAATTTGCAAAGTATGGACAAGTTAGAGTCCCTTCTGTGACTGCCTATCCTCATAGGCAGAGTAAGTTCCTGACACCCTGTGATTTGGGATTCCTGATGCAGAGAATTCTCCCCAGGAAAGTCTTCATCCTCTGTTGCCATCTTTTCTTCTCAGACATAAAAACACATCCTATTTCCCATCTCTGTAGGGCTGAACTAGAGGTTAGCTAAGTCTCTTCCAGTCTCTGCAAAAGATTTCAATGTGAATTCTACCTACACCAAAAACACTAGTACATCACTCAGGTGACCATCGAGCACCTCGAATCTCATATACACAAAACCAAATTCATCATCCTCCAGTCACACGAAAACCCTGTTCTCAGTTCCTCCTGTTTTTATCCAGGCACAAAACCTGACTCATCTTTGACACTTCCTATTGCTCATATTCTACATCCCAAAGGTGTCACATTCTGTCTAATCTATTCCTTACACTCTCATAACCTTCCTTCCCTTTCCATTCATGTTACCCCTGCCCTTAACTGTTGCAAGCATTTGTCTCTAATCTCTTCTTCCTTTTAACCTCTCCTACATTTTGCTGTGAATGCAATCTTCCAAAAATACAGCTTTGGACATATAATCCCTCTACTCAAAAGTCCTCAGTGGTTCCCCCTTGCCTACTGAATAAAGTACAAAACAGGTCATTCTAGTGGCAGGGGGGCAGAGTGAGGGAAGATTAAGCTGGCAAAGGAATTTAGGGCCAGAAGTTAGGGAGTTCAGGCTTGTTCCTAAGGGCAGTGATGAGCCACTGGAAGTTTTCAGGCAGGGGAATTCAAAAAAATCATCAAGTCATCTTATCCTTGGAGCTACTGCCTTAACTTGCATAAGTAAATACACCTTTGACTATGGTGATACCAGACATTATGGTAACCCAGCAAGGAAAACTATGTCATTTTCTTATATTTAACACTATTTCTTTCCCCTAGGAATGAGAAGTGCCTTATTTCTTACCCGAGCTGTTTCTGCTAAAACATCAAGTGTCACCAAACAACCTCTACCAGATGTTCTAAGACATGAAGCAAGTAACATTTCTTTTGTACCAGATATAGACAGAACAAATGAAGTATGAAATTACGATCAAATATTGGTATAAAACAATTTCATTCATTAAGTGACAATTTAGAGCAGCCTTACTTCCTGAAATTTGCTACGTACTAGCAAATTTGCTGGTAAGATTTTATAAATTTGCTAGTAAGATTTTACAAAAATTGAAGTGAAAACCCTAGCAATAGTCCTATGCTACTTCAGTGAATCAGTGTTCATGGCTATCAGTGATTTTAGTATTGCCAAGCTACAAATAGGGAGAATACCAGTAACAATTTGTCAACTAGCAAAAGAAAACTGGTGAGCCTGAGATTTTAAATTTGTAAGAGACATCCAAATTTGAACACTGTATTTGTCTCAATTTTTAATTTTTAATAGTGATTACCTGAAGCAACTTGATTGTTCTCACTTAATAGCCCTTAGGTAATGAGCTTCCTAACTGGTGAGCTACAAGAGATTCAGGGTACATATTTGTGCCCTGCAGAGGAAGCATCAAACTGAGCTTTTGTGAGTCACTTCTCTTCTAGTGCTGCTGCCTGGTACAGGAACAGCCATAGTGTCTCACTCTGTTCCCTTTGTCACCAGTGCTCAGCCATCTAATATTGGAAAGCTAACAGCAGACATTTATGGTGCAGCCCCTGGTTACAGCATAGGTTGCCTGTATGGGCTGCCAACTAGGTATTATAGGAATCAAATACACATCCTTGGCCGGGCGTGGTGGCTCACGCCTGTAATCCTAGCACTCTGGGAGGCTGAGGCGGGCGGATTGCTCGAGCTCAGAAGTTCGAAACCAGCCTGAGCAAGACCAAGACACCGTCTCTACTATAAATAGAAATAAATTAATTGGCCAACTAATATACATAGAAAAAATTAGCCGGGCATGGTGGCGCATGCCTGTAGTCCCAGCTCCTCGGGAGGCTGAGGCAGGAGGATCGCTCGAGCCCAGGAGTTTGAGGTTGCTGTGAGCTAGGCTGATGCCACGGCACTCACTCTAACCTGGGCAACAAAGCAAGGCTCTGTCTCAAAAAAATAAAAATAAAAAATACACATCCTTGGCTCTGTTAGCACTGTATTATTAATAATTGGTTCTGCTGCTCTAAAAAGTTATCAAGCAGGAAATTACTGACGTCTTCCCAAATGAAATCTATATAACTAAGCTAAAGAGTGACATCATGTGCCATATCCTGTGTTAAATACATAGTAAGTGACAGATTCACTTATGTGTAATGGCTAAAATATAGCACGTCTGCCACAATAGGCTTCATTGATAAACATTTATGAAACACCTGCTGTATGCAGAGCACACTGCTACTCTGTCAACATCCATAATCAGTATAGTCAGTGTCTAAAGAAAGAAACTTAACTACTTTGAGATATTAATAGTTTAATAATTGTACATAGGAATTAATTTTTTCACTAGCCTCAGAATAGAGCCAGAAAAAAAGCATCCCCTGAGTATGCCCTGGATGGCAAACTTAATAACTACATATCTCACCAAAAAAAGTCAATAAACCAGTTTAGATCACCAGTTTCTAAAGGAGGCTTTGAAATATGTTGGATAACATGAGTACATCAAACAGTAACAAATATCACATTTATTTTGACAAATAGCATGAACATTTTATGACAATAGAATAAGACACTATTTTCCAACTTGTTTTGCCCATCCCACCAGTGTCACGAAACTACTTCTGGTGGCTTGTGTTCATCTCTCAGGCCTGGAAAAAAATTAAGTCTACTTTGTTAAATTTATCTCCCTGTTCAATTACCAAAGCAAGTAGAATTCTTGGCCAGGTCAAAGAGTCACATTCCATGTTTGCAGAGAACCCGCTCTCTGCTTTCCAGCTCTCTAAAAATGTTTCTCTTATAGTTAGCTTTGTTTAAAAACCTCACATTGGCCAGGCACAGTGGCTCATGCCTGTAATCCTAGCACTCTGGTAGGCTGAGGCGGGAAGACCATTTGAGCTCAGGAGGTCGAGACCAGCCTGGGCAAGAGCGAGACCCCACCTCTAAAATAAAAAATAGAAACACGTTATTTTATTTTAACTGTTCAGGTGATTACCTTCCATGCTGATCAGTGTGTCTCTTCAGTTAATTTTGGAATACTGATAAATTCAATGAACCTTAGAGTTATGAAAATAATATATATATAATCTAAAACAAATAAAACATGGATATTTGTTAAAATGGGCTTTTAAAATAAGTTATTAAATCATTTTCTTAAATTTTTATATTTTATATGTGAAAAATAGCCAATGTTCATATTATTTAAAAACTCCTTTGGGGACTTTTGTTTCATTGCTGAATTTTTCTCATGGCATACATAGGTGACACATGCTGATTCGGGTATAAAAATGACTGAGAAGTCAAGCTTCAGCTATGACTCAGGTAAACATTATCAACAATTATTAAGTACATCTTACAACCCATTAATTCATTCACTTAACTAACATTTACTGAGCTCTCCTGCTACATGCCAGGCACTATGCTGATTATTGAACATACAAAGTAGAAAAACCATGATCCCTATCCTGGGTTTTTACAGTTTAGTGGGAAAAAGATATGTCAATAATCACAACCCAATATGATAAGTACATACTGGAGGTATATACAAAGTCCAGTAGAAGCATAGGGAAGCAGAGGAAGCTTTTATAGAAGAAGCCACAGATGAGCTAGAAGTAAAGGAGGAGAAATAATTTTCTAGACAAACAAATGGAAGATGGTAGAAAAAACCTATCAGAAGAAGGAAATACATTTACCAAGATATAAACATTAGAGCATAGTGTGTTTAGAATTTCTTCAGCTAAAAGTTCAAGTTAGAGAATTACACAAGATGACACTTGACCGGTAGATAAGGGATGGTCACGCTGGAAGCTCAGACTTGTGGGGGGAGGGGGGAGGGACACTTTTTGAAACCTTAAAATTTGTACCCCCATGATATGCCAAAATAAATAAAAAAAAAAAACTTGGACCATTGAGATAGTGGAAGGCCATGCCAAGCATTGACCTTTTTTCCATTTATCCAAGAGTAACTGTTGAAAAATATCAGCAGGGGCATAACGTGGTGAGAATTGGCCTTTTCAAAAGTGAAAAAATGGAATTAGAAGTAAAGAGACAATAAAAATAATAACAGCATTTATTAAACACTTGCTACGTACCAGGTACTATGTTAAGACATTTATATCCCCTCATTGAACCATCTCAATAATGAGGTCAGTAATATTGTTATCTACCATTCTACATATAAGTAAACTAAGCCTCAGAATAGCAAATTATCTAGCCCAAGATCACACAGTATGTGGCAAAGCCAAAGTCTGAACCCATGTCTGTCTTAATCAATCCTTACCATAACACCATGCTGCCCCTTAACTACAATTAAGGAAGTTATTATAATAGTCAAGGTGAGAAATGAGTCCTGAAAAATGCAGTGGCAGTGAGGATAAAGAGTTGGACCTAGATTTGACTTAAATTAAGGAAATTGAATGGCCGAGATTTGTTTACTAATTGAATATGAGAGATGAAGGAGTTGAGGACAACACCCAGATATCTTGACTGGGCAACTAAGTGGATAGTGAAGAGTGGTGCTATTCAGTAGATAGGTAATACAGAAGGAGAAACATGTTTGGAAGAAAAGAAATAGTTCAGCTTTGAATATTTTTATGAGTTTGAGATGCCTGCAGGCATCCAAGTAGGACATGTAAGTGAAGCAGTCAAGCAAGAAGTTAGAGATACTGGTCTAGGACTCATGGGAGAAGCAAGAAAAAGAACACTTTATATCAAAACCTATGAGAACAGCTTTTGTTATTTCCCATAAGGTTTGATATAAGGTGTACTTTTCAAGGTAGAATATTCTATCTCCTTTTAATTCCTTCTTTGATCTAAGAGTTATCCATAAGTATGTTTCTTAATTGCCAAGAAATTAACATGTTGGGTCACATTTTTTATTACGTTCATAGAATTTAGCCGGGAAATCTCTACCACATTAAAGTTGTTAAGGTTTTCTTTGTGGCCAAATATGTGATTGATATTTGAAAGTGTTTCGTGGCCATTCCAAAAAACATATATTCTCTGCTTGAATGGTATAAGAGACTCTAAATGAATATTAAGTTATGGTTATTGACATTATTCAATTATTCTATCTTTTGTCTACTAGACTATCTTTTCTTACTGTGTACTAGATGTGTGCAGCCGTCAAAGATGTGTATTGAAATTCTCCATTATAAATGTGTTTCTATCACATTCCCATTGCATTTCTAATACGTTTTACACATTTAGGCTCTTCAAGATATTTAATCCTCTGTATTGCTGGAAACCATAGAGTTATTTATTTTTTTAGAAGTTGCATTACAGGCCAGGCACAGTGGCTCATGCCTGTAATCCTAGCACTGTGGGAGGCAGAGGTGGAAGGATCACTTAAGGTTAGGAATTTGAGACCAGCCTGAGCAAGAGTGAGACCCCATCTCTACTAAAAATAGAAAATTTAGCCGGGTGTGGTTGTGTGTGCCTATAGTCCCAGCTACCCAGGAAGCTGAGGCAGGAGGATCGCTTGAGCTCATGAATTTGAGGTTGTAGTGAGCTATGATGAGGCCACTGCGCTCTAGCCAGGGCAACAGTGTGAGACTCTGTCTCAAAAAAAATTTAAAAAAGAAGTTGCATGCTCATGAAATGCTACGGAAAAAAAAAAAAAAAGAAAAAAAGAAGTTGCATTAGATACCTATTTCTGAGTAGCAAATTACCCTAAAATTTGGCGGCTTAAAAAACAAAACAAAACAAATCATCTTCTTACACTTTCTGTGGTCAGGAATACAGGTGCAGCTTAGCTAGGTCATTCTGACTCAGGGTGTCCCATGAGGTTACAGTCAAGGTATCATCCAGCAGTGCTGCAGTCATCTGAAAGCTTGATTGGGACTGGAGGATTCACTTCCAAAGTGGCATGCTCAAAGGGCTGTTGGCAGGAGGTCTCAGTTTCTCACCATGTGGTCCTCTCCATAGAACTTCCTGAGTATCCTCATGATATGGCAGCTGGCTTCCCCTAGAGCAAGTGATCCAAGAGAGAGGGGCTGAAGTCACAGTATATCTTATGATCTTGTCTCAGAAGTTACACACCATCACTTCCATCATATGCTGTTCATTAGAAGCGAGTCACTAAGTCCAGTCCATGCTCAAGAGGAAGAGAATTAACCTTCACCCTTTCGAGGGAGGAGTATCAAAGAATTTGTGGACATAATCTAAAACCACTACAACAGTGTTATCTTCACACTTAATTTATCAAGCTTGCACAGTATTAATTCCAGCTCCTTCCTTTCCAAAACTGAACGCATGCAAAAACATACTCGCCCACAAAGAAACTCAAGAAGTTACATACAATTTAAGTAAAACTTTTAAAACAGACCATTGGAATTTATTGATTACTCACAATACACTTGACATTTATTGGGAAAAAATAAATACCAATTTACCTTGACTTTGAACCAGCCCTAATTGGTAATACTACCTTCTATTATTCAGAGAAGTCTGTTTGTCTAAGACTTTCATTTAATCATGTTTTTCCATATTTGATATGCACCATTCCAGGATTCCTATGGACATGTTCTATATGAAGATTTGCTCTAGTATCATTATCCAGATATATTCACTAAAATCCACTTGTGGAACTATATGTTATACAAACATGTTAGACAGTGTTTGAGTGGGAAGAGATTAATGATATGAAGACTAATGAACAAACTTTGAGCAAATACATATATAAAGAATTCATTTAACAAATAAATGGTATTGGGTGCTCGCTATGTGTCAGGTACTAAAAACCAGTCATTCTAAAACAGCATAGGAAATTCTATATAATAAAAGGGCCTTTTGGGGACACTGACAGAGGATGCCTGGGCAGACTGCAAGGAAGATTTTCTGGAGGAGGTGGCACAAGATGAACAAACCCTAAAGGATGGGAAGTTTAAAAGAGGGACACAAGAGTTGCAGACAAATGGAATAGTAATGGCAAAGGCCCTCAGGTGTGAAAAACGTGACACGTGTAGGGAATTGAATGTTGTTCAGTACCTTTGGACTACAGAATACATGGCCGGAGATTAGGACGGCAAGGTGGGCAATGGCCCCAGGTTTTAAGGTATATTTTGTGCCACACCAGAAGCCCCTGTAGAGTTGAAACAGAGGGAAACCACAGGAAATAAGGACCTAGTAAGATATGTTAATTACCATTTTACAAGTAGCTTGTAAAAGATACCAAAAAATAATAATTTTCTTTTTTCTGTCTGAAAATCTACCTGCAGCTCAGACAATCATCCCTCCTCATGATTCACCAAAAAAGTAAGTGTCTAATTCTGATTAGAACATAGAATACAATATCATCATACCTAGAAAAGGGCTTCATCTAATCTGGTATTGAATATGATTAGAAAACTATAATTTTAATCAATCATTATCAAATAATGATCTTCAGATGTTTTCTTACTGTAGAGCAGGGGGAGGAAACTAGGAGTTTTGAGGAGTTGGTAGAAAGTTAATTATGAGACAGCTCTGATCAAGCAGAGCAGGTACAAGGGACTCACCTATCCTCTCTGCCTCCAACCCCACGTTCTTCCCAGCTCACTACAAAATAAACGTAACTAAGGTGGATCAAGAATGTAATATCAGAATTTGAAGGAACGTTCCATAAATTATTAGCCCAAGTTATAAAATCAATCTCTCTTGACTTTTCAGGCAACAGAGCAGCCATCAAATCTGCTGTCAACAAAAAGTAAGTATGATGAAATTCACTCAAAAAGCAACATATTAAGGATATTTTTTAATACAGTATAAGAGAAAAATATGTGAATCAGACAACCAGCAGTCATCTGTTGACAGTCATTCTCCCTCTTTGCCCTTTTCTCTTCCTTGACTTTCACTCTCAGTTAATCTTAGGTTTTGCAGGGGTCCAAAGTCAATGTTAAGAGAGAGTGTTGGCTCTTTGGGCAAGGGGGCTCAGGAGGATAGGTTAGGGAGCTTTAGGAGGTCTAGCTATCACAGGAAGAGCATCACATACCACAAACCCATTCCATAATAGGAAGCCATTAAGGGAAATGCCTTTGCAGTCCACTGCAGACCTGGCTCAGGGATGAGCATCCTGCGCCTCAAGCAGGCGAGCCAGGCTGCCTGGATTTGTCTCTTAATTTTCTCGGGAGCAAGAAGAATCTTAGGTTGGCTACTCTTCGTGATCACCTGAGAACTGCAATTTGGACCAGGCAAAGATAAGAAGGTGAATTTGATAAGCTCCAACTCTGGGGCTAGACAGCAAACATGAGCAAATCAGGGGTTCAGGGAAGTAGCACACACTCTCACACACTCTTTCACACATACACCAGTTCCACTTATACACCATGCAACAAACACAAAGACACACTGGCACCAAAAGAAGGATATTTCTCAGTTTAATAGTATAGTGAAAATAAGCTGAAAATCATAGAGTATTTATCACATTTCACTTCATTAAAAATTATTTTGAGAATGCCCCTATTTTGTATATCAAGGTTATAAATGCATCTTCTCAACTGTCCTAAAACCAGAAAGGTAGGTCTGCTATATATGATCTCTGGTAATAAGAAAATAATACATATTGAAATTCTCAGTTCATATGTATTAGAATGGATTTAGATTAATTTAAACTAAGAATGAGTGAGTAACTTCTCTTTTAATGTATGGATGTTATTCTTGGAAGTGCTTGCTTTACTACATGTTTATGTAAAATAAGTCTTTTTCAAGCATATGTTATCATCCCAAAGTATGTTTTGCAAACTCAATTGCCATTTTCCAGTCTGTGGTTAAAAAAAAATGCAGTGAAAGAACTAGATAGTTGTGACGGTTGCACAGTATTGTGAATGTATGTAATGCCACTGGACTCCTTGCTTTAAAATGGTAAAATGAAAAATTTTATATCACGTGTACTTTATTATAACAAAAACATATTAAGAGTGGAATAAAATGACTCATCCCTGGGTTGGCCTTCAACTCTCTAATGGGTCAGGAGAGAGTATGCTACATACAGCAAGGTGTTAACTTTTCTTTCAATGTTGGCCTAAACCTGAACAATCTGGGAGCTAACCTGGAGATAATTGGGGTGGGGGCAACAACTACATTATAGGGATCCTAGTATTCCCCCTGGTGCTCAAATACCAGGTGTTCAGCCTTTGATGCCACTGACTTGTATCTATAGCCTTGAGGAGTACAGTTCCTATGGAAGGTAAGTACTCTGGGTCTGGCTGCTTGGAAGGTAACGACTTAAAAACATACTGTTTTATTACAGGCAAGAGGAATTTTGTGTTCCCAAAATACATTTGCAATAAGTAGAAGGACATAAACAGATACAGAGTTTTACAGATACACTTTTCATCTATCCATGGGCCGGTCTTAACTGTGACAGTGAGCATAATTCACCACTGAAGAAATGGTCATTCATGTCTGGTCCCTGGATTTCTACTTCAGCTCAGACAGAGGGGACCCCAACTTCCCTCTATTGCTCAGCCTTCTTGGCTCTCTTTGAACCCTATTTCTAGCTAAACCCTTTTTTCTACCTAAATTAAGATGTTTCTTTAATTCATCATCTGTCCTCTGCCCCCATCCAAGATAGTTTGCACTGATAATATTTTGTTGGACCCAAAGCCTATTCATTCTCGCTAAATTGTCCATGCTAATTGTTGCCCATCAATTAACTCTTAAAAATTAGCTGTAGTTATTTGCATATATAAACACAGACAATTGAAGGAGGAAGATACTTGGGCAGGTCGCAGAGGCCACAGGCTGACTCCTACCACTAGGGAGCCTTATTTTCATCCTTATACCCTAGCTAAACAGATGCCCAAGCAGAAGGAGGCTATCTCTATGAAAGCACATAAATGTTTTGACGGCAAATTTGCTTCATGAAATAGTCTGTTAGAGGTAATCTGGTCTGTATTTTTAATAAATATTTCCTGGATCATAAACACAGTTTTACTTCTTGCCAAAGCATTTCTTTTGTATGAGCCCAGGCACCCACTTGGCTAATTTTTTTTTAACCAGAAAGCCATTTCTCTCTAGTACTAAATGCTAAAAATAAGACTTCCAAGGGCTGTTGAACCAAAGGGAATCATATTCAAAGACTAGATCACAGCCATGGATAATAAACCAACTTGAAATTTATCTGATATTCTAAAGAGACCCTTTCCTATGTTCTCTCTATACACCATGACTGTATTCTAGCTATGCACTCTTTGACATATGAAATTAAAGGTTAGCCCTCATCCCTAGAATAGAGTAAATTTATATTTGATTTTCCTTGTATCCTTGCTCGCCTTCTTTCCAGGTAACTTCTGAAGAACTGAACAGTATAATTCATAATGTAATGACATGGGTTGTGGCTGCAGTAACCAGTATATTATACCCAGCCATCACAAAATATGAAGAAAGGTTGCAAAGTAGTACATACCCAATGTCTGCTGGCTCCCTCCTGTCTTCAGACAGTTTGAGTTGCTATAGCACATGCAGTGATACATTTATATGGGAAACAACTAAGATATTTCAGGCAGAGCCCTGTATAAAGGCAGAAGCTGACAGGTCAGTGAGGCAACCAGCCACACCTTTAAAGCCATCTTCTGCCCATAAAGAAAGAACAGTTGTGGAAAAAACTCATCACAGGACAGAACAACCTATAACCTCTGAAATCAAACATAGTGAGATCTATAAAGACCCCAAGATCAAAGCCGATAAGACCTGTAACCTTTTCACATCAACTGAAAAGATAGTAACCTTTTCACATCAACTGAAACAGACACAAAGGAATCTAAGAATGCTACCACTCACACGGATGACTTAGAATGCCCATTGTCTTCTGATGGGAAATCGAAGGCTATAAGTGAGATGCAAGAGTTAAAAAATACCTTTGGTAACTTTAAATGTTACCTAAAAGAGGAAACTGAGTTGATTTTAGGAAGCATTTTTCAAGAAATGCTGTCTGATTTAACCCAGCCCATTCCCACCCTTCCCTCGGTTACGGCTAAAGTTTTGGTTGACACAACCGATACTGACAAAGGAGACTTGCTGTCCAGTGGTGCTATCTCCTCAGCAGCTGGTGAAACTGTAGAAAATGTGCTTGAGAAGCTACAGTCTGCAATCGAGAAAAAAATGTATTGAGGTATTTTCACAAGAAGATGTGTTGGCCCACTTTAAATCACACTTAAGAGCCAGCGGAGAAAATTTCATTTCTCCCAAGGAAAAATCTTTAAAAGCTTCACTGATGGCAGTGACTTTAGAGAACATGAGTGATATTGCAGAAGACATGGTTCACATGATTGTAGAAAAGCTGATAGCTCTTGCATCTTCTAAGCAAAATGAACTTGCTCATATTGAAAACATACATGAACCTGCTTATCAGCAACAAATGAAACATCCAATATGTACATTCCTTCAGGGAGCCAGCAAAAGGAAAGCTAGTGCTGAGCCTGGTGCAGCCAATTTGTTCACCAAACAAGAAATACAAAATATGGTGTCAAGTAGTTTGTCCCAGTCCTCTCTGATTGATTACATAAAGGAAGCAATTGGCACTGTACTAGGTCATGTACAAATTGGACTTAATAATGATAGCCTTATTGCAACTGAAGAAACAAACGGTGGTCATCCTTCAGCTACTTGATGATATCTTGACTCAGCTACATCGGAAACCAGTGAAAACAAACATCCAGAAGAGTAGACGCCCCAGACTGAGCAGTCCTTCTGACACTGAAGAAGAGAACAGACTCACCGGCACTACAGTAGCTGATAGTCGTCCTAGATACCGGCAACAATTTCCACCTGTTAATGTTCCTGGCATGGCTCTTTATTCCGAAGATGAAAATGAAGAAATAAACAAAATTGTGGAAAATGTGCTGATTTCATCTATCAGGGATGAAAAAGCAAAATTACAAGAACAGGTTCCTCATCACTGGTCATCAAGGGGAAATGCTAGTCTTAAATTCAAAAGAAATATCAACTCACCTACAGAGCCTGCTTGTCAGGGCAAAGTGGCATTTCAGGATTGGGGTTCAAAGAGTGACCTTAAAACATTTAATATTAAAAACCTTTTTGAGGACAAGCCATGTTTCAATAAAGACATTCGGATTTTCAGCCATGATGAAAAGCATCAAATACAAAAAGCATCGGAAAACATAATTACAAGTATTTTATTAGAAGTGCTCAAAGACATATCTTCTGTGTCCCCTGATCACTTAGATAATAAAAATGGTCAAGAAACTTCACTTCTTACCTCAAGAAAACCACAAGGTCTGTCACATCAAGAGTGGATGGACCAGATGTTCTCTGTGTCAGAAATACATACAGTAGCTCAGGAAACAGCAGATGTTGTGTTAAAAATACTTCATGTGGCTTCTAGTGACATCACCAATGCCACCAAACATCCTGTTTCTTCAGCAGTACTATCAGTGCACCAGACTTCTCTAGATGATGTTGACATACCAAATAAAGACCCATTAGAAGTATGGTTAGAGAGTAAGAAGAACATGAAATTTTTAGCAGCACTTGATGTAGAACCTATAAAACCTCCCTGGTTAGAATCTGCAGAAATTGAATCAATATCTGAACCTATAGTTCATGTTGATAATAAGATCACTCAAACAATTTTTAAGATGCTTAAGTCATTTATTTGTCCAAAATTGCAAAAATGCTTCAAACCAGAAAGCCATGCTACCGGTTTGAAGCTGGCATCTGGCAAGAAATCTTTGTTTCAATCTCAAC